ATTTTTCCTCACAGTTTGCCTTCCTCAAAATCGACCTTGATCGTTGGGAATGGTCCACGTCAGAAGACGAAGATGACACAGCAATGGATGACCAAAACCAAGAAGCACCAAAAACACCAAGCCAAGACAAGAAAAGCCACAAACAAGCCATTGTACCCGAGATGGACACCAGTGATTCAAGCAGCTCKGATTCTGAAGATGAAGACATGGACTATAGAGATTTTTTGAGTTTTGATTGACAGTAACCAATAGAGGCTTTGCACTATCTCGTGATGGCAGCTATGAAGGAGGCACAACAATAGGGTATCTTTCCCCTGGGAAACTGAAATATTTCTCATGTAAATCAGACTAGATCAGATTCAATTGTTCCTGCCTCCAGTCATAGCTGCCATCACGTAATGGTGCAAAGCCTCCATACCAACAAGAATGTCAAGCAACTATAAGAAAAGTTACAAACCATCTATTGTATCTTGGACAGACATCTGTCCATTGGTTCAGGCAGCTCTAAATCGGACGATGAACTAGTCTAGTAGTAGTATTTAAGAGTTCTGTTGAGGGATTTAGAAAACCAGTATGACCAAGAATGCTATATACAAGGTATTCTACTTGAGATGGACACAAGATCTGTTGAGTTCTTGATTGATAAAATCGTTCAAGAGATATATCTCTACWTCTAAAACTACACGGAAAACGGAACGTATTATTGATTCTCTTWGGACAATCTGCAAAGAATATTTCTTTTTTAGACTTTTTTGCATGCATCTATATATTTGACCGACTAGTTGGATTGAACTAAAAACAATTTGTCCTCTCGCCYTCATGGTCTACCAGTCAACAGCCCATTCGGACTCGAGGAYTAATTGCTAAATAATTAGCGTTTTCTAGTTATATTGTTATAAATACTTGTTAAATATGAACCTATCAGTTTACTTTCGTCACTTTCTCATTATTTCGAGGCTACTCTTTCCACGCTAGACATCAATTTAACAAGAAAAAAATAGAAAACTGAAATTCCCGTTTAAAATTGTTGCRTTTTGTTTATGCGTTTACCTTTTTAAGGCCCGATTAATACTGAGTTACGGTTACTACCATTATACACCCAAAGATGGCTTCCACCGTATGCATCAATAGAAAATGAGAGCGAATACATTATATTTGGCAACAGGCCATGTTGCTTGACCCAAATACTATTTTGGCACAGGTAGCCCAAGCTTGGTTTCTGTGGTGTCATRTTATAAGGAAATGTTTCGGGATTCTTCAAAAATTTCAATAAAATCATTGAAACGTAAAATAAAGAAACTTTCTTACTGGTGGGGAAAAAAATCTTAAAAGGGGCAAAACTCAAAAATAACCACACAGAGCGAAAGAAGTACTATTTCTCAATGATCGGGTAAAATTTCGAGGCTTTATTTCACGTTTCAATGGTTTTATTGAAATTTTTAAAGAATCCCCATACATTTCCTTATAACAKGACACCACAGAAACCAAGCTTGGGCTACCTGTGATTTCGGTTTCTAATATTGGCTGCAATCTTATAACTTATTGCGATTTTGAGCCGACAATACGGGTTTATATTGGCGGCTAGTTGGGAGAAAATATATTCCGTATTGGCCGTAGCCGCGAAGTGACTAATATAAACCCGCATTGTCGGCTCAAAATCGCAACATAAGTTTTGTATCGCGATCCTGTTTTGATTGTACTTTTAACACTAGAATTAATTTTATTACTCTACTTTGTAAAACAAATAGTTAATAAGAGAATTTATCTGATTTTACAACTATTTTTGTCATGAAATAACTTCTAAAAGTCGAGTTTTCTTCGAAAGTTTAGTTTGAATGAAAACAAAT